TTCAAAGCTAATAATCGGCTACCTTCATCCCACAGAACTGTCCTCCCTTCATCTGCCTTCTGGTAGTTTGTACCACTCTGCTTCACCAAAAATGTTCCTCAAAATATTCACTACGGTTACCTTGAAATCAGAGTACCAACAAACTATAATAAACCAGCCCTGATTCCATGTAGAAACTATATTTCCTTTGAATTCCTCAACCGGAAAAGATAGGTCCTGGCCATCTATAACATAGCACTAAAAGGTTCACTTGAGTAGAAAATAACTTTGCTTTAAAAAATATGTATTATTAGTTAGGCAGTTCAGCTAACTGCTACAAGCACAGTGAACAAAAAAATGATGAACAGAACATGTGGTAATGCTCTCAGAACCACAGAAAGGGATATATTCTATGAGACTGAAGTGAGACTGAAGATAGTTACTTTGATACTACAGAACCCTAAACCATTCTTTCACCTTCCGGTCAGAAGCCACAATGTAGAGACAGGCAATATTGATTTTCATGCAAACTACACTTTCGCACACTGTATGGGTAACATTCCTAAGTCCCATTTGGTAGAACAAATTGAGACTTTTTAGATCAAGGGACAAACATTTTGGGCTAGTGTATGATGGCCTCGCCTGTCAGTTAATAGACTTCTTTTGACGGTGTCCCCTTCATACAGTAGTACTGTATTTGCATGGTTATTAAAAGTTTTTTCATAAAATAAGAGTAAAAATGAAATAAGACAGGGTCTGCCCAGTGGCGTAGCGGTTAAGTGCGCATGCTCTGCTGCAGCAGCCTGCGGTTCACGAGTTCGGATCCCAGGCATGCACCGGGACGCACTGCTTGTCAAGCCATGCTGCAGCGGCGTCCCATATAAAGTAGAGGAAGATAGGCAGGGATGTTAGCCCAGGGCCGATCTTCCTCACAAAAAAGAAAGAAAGAAAGAAAGAAGATAAATGGAAAATACAAAAGTGAAAGCATAGATAATAGCAGAGATTCAAAAACTTAATTCAATTGAAGTAGAGATCAATCATTAGATATGCTAAAATTGACACATTTCCTAGTCAAAAATTGACTAGCTTAAGCTGGTCAAATGAGTGTTTGTGAAAGAAAAAAAAATTAAAGAACATTTTCACATGTTGGTGATGTATCATTAATGCCTGTGTAAGAGACATAAAATTAAGAATTTGGCACATATATTTTTAATTTCTTTAGCACAATCAACGTGAATACACATTCTCTGGAATATATTCTAGGGAACTGCCTATACTTGGAAATGACAGCTAACCTTAGATGTGGGACTACTTAAGCAACTTACAACATGCTGAAGCTCTTAGTTACCACAGAGTTATTGTTCACATGACTTCAATTTCTACCTAACCATGTTTCAGAGTCTAAAAATCAGTCACTTAAACACTGACCTCACACTCCGGCCTCCCCTCCTCTCCTCTCCTCACTTTTTGGATGAGCCAATTCTTGACCATAGCACATAACTACAGATGTTTTTTCTGCTTCTGTGCCCAAGCTGCAAGGCACTGCTTCAAAAAAAAAAATGACAAATCATACATTCAGGCCAACTCCTACCGAGCTTTTTTTCCTCACCTGCCAATTCCTTAGTATATTCCCCTCAAGAGCTACTCCAAGTCTCTTCATCTCATTTTCAGAAGATGTGTGGCTTAATTATTAGATTCGTAATAGTTTTAGAACTAAAGAATCTCAGAGATATTACTGCCAACTCCTTCATTTTAATTATAAATAAACCAAGATCTAGAATTTAAAGGACTATAGCTTTACAAACACTGAGTCAACTTACTCGAAGCCCTCACTTACCCTCCATTTCAGCATATTTATTGCATCTTGATCCATTCATTATACCTCAGAGGCAGATCTACGGTGAAGTCACGGACTCAGCCTGAAGCCACTCTGCGTGAATACTGTTCCAGCTAGGCCACTTACTAGCTATATGCATCTGGATAAATCAATTCTCTGTCCCTCAGTTTCTTCACTTGTAAAATAGAGATAACAGCAGTATCTGACTAGCTGGGTTGTGACCATTACCCAAGTTAATACACATAAAAGCACTAGAACTGGCCTCGCACATAGTAAATGCTACTTAGAAGTTAGTTGTCATCATGACTATCATTCCCTACAGAAACTCTGGCAAATGAGAACACTGCCCCCTCTTCTACCTTGACTTCTTTTCCATTGTTCTCGATTCCACACTCCCTCCACTTCCAAGAACTCAGTTGCTCCCATCTTCTCCCCTTCAATAGCTTTAAGCAAAACTCTTCCACTCTACTGTCCTCCTTTCTTTTGATGTCAAAGCTTCTTAAATCAGTCTTCTTCATTTCCTGCACCTACTTACCATAGTTTGCTTTTGAAGATTCATCCCGTAGCTCTGAGATGTTCATTCTCTGAACTCCAAGACTTATTCCTCAATATATGCTAGCAAATGTCAAATTCTGATCTCCAGTTTTGAGTTCCTGCCCAAGCTATAACTTGTGTATTTCCAAACATGATATTTCAACTTGAGCATCTTATTACCATCTCACACTCAATTTTCCTCACATGTAAAATGATTCCAATAAAAATTTCCAATATAATCTACAACAAAATTTTTCATCTCTTCTACTCATTCCAAATCAGTTTTCCACTATAACTTCACAATATTTCTATTGGTGGCACCATAATTCTCCCAATAACCAAATTCTATCTAGTCTTACTTCAGAATTTCTGACATTATCCATTCATTTCTAGCCTATCACCTTACTCACATGTTTATAGGCCCTCTCCTGTTTCTAGCAAACATCCTCCCAATTCTACATTTATATCATTCTCATCTTAATCTTCTTAAAATATTCTGTCACATCATTCACTTAAAAACCTCCAATAAACCTCCACTGTACAAAGTTCCAATTCCTTAGCTTGGCATTCAAGTTTTTCTCCAATCTGTTCCCAAACTATCTTTGTAAACCATAATCCACTAATCCCCGTAAATTATTACATACACCTCAACCAAACTCTACTTACCTCCTATGTGTACCCAGTTCATTTCTATATAATCACGTGACATATGCCATCCTGGTATACCTTCCACATTGTTCACTTATATCCCAAATTTTTCACGGCTCAGTTCAATTTGATCCCTTCCCATGAAACCTTATAGCCTCTTCCCCATTTGAATTCCTAAACCATTTATTGCCTATACAACTCATTTGCCACTTAATTATATAATGCCTCACGCTGTTACCTAAAATTACATAATGCCTCACACTGTTATCTAAATGTGTGCACGATCTCTCACATCAGAGTAAAAACAAACCTAGGAAGGGATAGGATCATATCTCTTTGCATCCACTGTATTTTCTGAGAAAGTTGTGCACAGTAGGCACTTAGCAAAAAACTACTGATTGCGTGAAGAACACAATCACCTTGCTTTATGAGATACTAGCTATCTGCTCATATAATTCCATTTAAGAGAAAGGAATTATAGAAGGAATAGTAGAAATAGAGAGCGACTGTTTTGTAACCACCACAGTAATAATGATTCATGCAAGACTCATCAATGGATGCTAAAACCATCACATAAAAGTTTCTTGGGGAACAGGATATTTATACAGTCTCAAAACATATCTGAACAAATTACTTATGAATTACAAAGGGAAAAAAAGGTACCTTCACAGTGGAGAAATCTGGCGAACACCAAGTGATCAAAGTTAACATCACCAATAATGGGATAAACTGACATCATGTGCCTCCTGATGTGATGCACTGAGGACACAACATCACTTATGTATTATTCCTGCCAAAAATGCATAACCTGAAACTAGTCATGAGGAAACAATCAGACAAACCAAAAACTGAGGGACAATCTACAAAACAACTGACCTATACTCTTCAAAAATGTCAATGTGCTGAAAGACAAAGAAAGGCTGAGGAACTGAGTGTGTGATCCTGGATTGGATCCTGGAGCAGAAACCAAACTGCTATAAAGGACATCACTGCTACACAAGACAGCTTGTGAATTTGAAGGTGGACTGTATTGGATAACAGTATTAATGTTAAATGGCCTGATTTTTAACATTGTTCTTTGGTTAAGTAAGAGAATTTCCTTGATCTCAGGAGAAACATTCCCAAGTATTTGAGGGTAAATAAATCTAAAACTTATTCTCTAATTGCTCAGCAATAATAATATCAATAATAGTAATAATAATAAATATCAATAGAAAGATTGGCAAAAATGTGGCAAAATGTTAACAACTGGTGAATCCACAATACAAGAGATAATTGTACTACTGGTGCAACTTCTCCATTTTTTCCAAATAAAATTTAAAAAACGAATACCCTAATACTACACAAAAACTTTGGGAAGTTTTTATTTATCTGTGGTATTTTACATTTTATCTGACACCCTTAAAGCAAGACATACTTGCAGTGGAAGAGTTTGCCCTATAAAAACATTTGTTCAAAAAAACAAACACATCTTTCCGGAACCAAAGAACTATTTTATAATGTTAACAGCCCACTACTAATTTATCTATTAAAAAAAAAATTCACGTTTACCATAGTAAAACTCAGTTAAAATGAATAAAGTCAATTTCAACTGGTGAAAAGTCATAGACAATATTTTTTAAACAATGTAGTTTTATTATTTTCAAATATATAAAGTTTAGAAAAAGCTATAATGGGCTGATTAAGCATTTTAAGGAAAAAATAATTATCTGTAATTAACATATTAATATTTGTAAATTACTGAAAGTTTGCATCCTTAATTATGATTACAGAGAACATATTTATCATAGATCACAAACTTCATCTTCCCTCGATTATCAAAAATTCTGATTTAGTTGATAGTTAAGTTTTGAGTGAGGTTTTATAATACAGCCATTGATTGATTTTTATGACTAGAGGCTTCCTGGAGCCTTGAAAAATAATACTTCTAGTCAAAGTAAAATACGGTAAAAGGATTTTCTAGATTCAGTATATTTAGCAACAGTCCTTTAAAGTTGGATACCTTATTTATGAGATGTTCGGTAACAACTTCTCTTAGTCCAGTGTAGAGTTTTTCTCCATGTTTATGCAAAACCATTGTATATGCATTTCTATAGAGCTCCTCAAAACTAAGACCACTGTTATTCTTACGCTGGATTTCTTGAATGGCATTTTTCAGAAGGTCCCAAATGCTGTTTACATATTTTTCATCCATGGTCATCTGTAATATCCAAGAGAGAGAAAGAGACAAAAAAAAACACCAATGGTTGAAAATCTGTCTGTATTTGTCCAGTAAATATTTTACTATATGGCTATGATTATAAATCTGCATGACTTATAACAATGTTAACAATCTGTTTTAACAGAAATAAAGGGATACATTTAAAACTAATTTTTAGAACTGACAATCAATTTTCTGAAAATCCTTTAAGACCGCCCTCCTTTCTTATCTGCAGAACGCTCCACTTTAAATAAAATCATAATCCCTGATGTTAATATTAATACTTGCTTTAGTCAGTTTAAGACACTTTTCCCTAAGTTTATTTAATAGAGTACAAGCTCAGAGAGATACTGACACAGAAAGTGTTCTTTGATTTTAAGAATTGGGAACATGAACACTATTTTCCTCTCCTGAAGATTTACAGAGCCCCTTAGCAAACTAAAGACTGGGAGAAGACCTGCAATTAAACACAAAACAAACAAACAAACAAACAAAAACCCCACATTTTCTTTCTTTAACCTAGCATTCTCTCATTTCCTTCCTTTCCCAGTTTAGAGTCCATGGTCCATCATCTGTAACTACCTCGCATACACCCATAAATCACTTGCCCCTCTCTTCCTCCCTCCAAAATACTTGCCATTCTAAAGCCCAACTGCCTTCCTACTCCTTACCTGCACCCATGTAGCTGAAAGTAAATGAAAAATAACATACATACACCCATATTCAACCCGTCTCAGTTTAAATTTATAACCACTAACCACAAGCAGGCCCTCAGTCAATCCCACGATCCCACTTTTCTAGTCTGACTCTACTCTCCTCTTTGACTTTATACCATCTCCTCCATCCTCACTCTATAATGACTTGCTTTCTGTTCCACTAAGAAAATAGAAACAACCTGGAGAGACAGACACTGCACAAACTCCGATCATATCCAATAACCTATTTGATTGCATACAAATGTAATCTGCTAATTCCTGCACTCAAAGTGCCAAATTCTTATACTCAAATTATAGCACAAGGTCCAGAAACACAGGCATCATCTAGAGACTTGTTACAAGTGCAGAATTTCAGGCCCCACCCCAGATCTACAGAACCATAATCTCCATTTTAACAAGAACCCTAGGTGTATACAGAATGAAGGTTAGCAAGTACTGTTCTACTTCCATCCTAACTCACCTATTCAAGGACCTTCCTTTAGCAATCTCCCTTCCCAGCATCATCAAATTTTTTCCTCTCTGCTAGGTAATTTCCATCTGCATTCAAAATCATCAGTTTCCCATCTTAAAAACAAACAAATTCTCACAACCTCACATATTTCTCCTCCAGCACCACTGAATTTCTCTCTTTTCCATTTACAGCAAAATCGCAGGGCAGAGGAGGAGGATATTTCTACATTCCCTGTTTCCAAGTCCCATTTTTCCCATCATATCTTGAATCTACACCAATAAGGCTTTCACCTCTATGATTTCACTGAACCTGCTCTTGAGGTCACCAGTGACTTCCACACTGCTAAACCTAATGGTCAAAGTCTCAGTTCTCATCTTACTTGACTATCCGACAGCAACTGAAAAAGAGTCGAGCATTCCTAGTCCTAAGAAAGAGGTTCCTCACTTGCCTTCCAAGTACTACAGTCTCTCGTTTTTCTTCCTACTCTACTAGCTCCTATTTGTCAGTTGGCTAATTGGTTCTTACTCATCACCACAACCTCCAACCCTAAGGCTCAGGTTCTGAACCTCCTGTCTATCTACACTCAGTTTTTAGGTGAAGTTGATGTCATCTATTCTCATGGCTTTAAGTTAATCTCAAAATTTATATATACTGTTTGGCCCTCTCCCCTTAATACCAGAGTCATATATTCGGCTACCTACTCAATGTTTCTACTTGAATGCCTATTAGGCATCTCAAATTTATCAAGTCTAAAACAGAAATCCTAATTTTTTCCTCTAAGTCTGCTTCCCCTACAGTCTTCTCCAACTGAGCAAATGTCCACTCCATTCTTCCAGTTGCCAAGGCCAAAAAACTTGTAATCCTCTTTACAGGATTAAACAGGAAATCTCTTCTCTCTACCTTCAAAATGTACCCAGAATCTAACTCCTTCTCACCTCTTCCACTGCTACTAGCCTAGTCCAACCCATCATCATCTCTCAAATTACTGCAACAGCCTCCCAACTGGTCTGTTTCTGCTCTTGGCCCACTATCATAGAGCAGCCGGAGTGACTTCTTCCTGGTTTTTTTTTTTAACAGCATGTCATTTATATAATCTAAAAACACAAGCATACAGGGGCCGGCCTGGTGGCGTAGTGGTTATGTTCATGCACTCTGCCTCAGCAGCCCGGTGTTCACGGGTTCAGATCCTGGGTGCAGACCTAGGCACCACTTATCAAACCATGCTGTGGCAGCGTCCCACATATAAAGTAGAGGAAGATGGGCATGGATATTAGCCTGAGGCCAATCTTCCTCAGCAAAAAAAGGGTTCGCAACAGATGTTAGCTCAGGGTTAATCTTCCTCACAAAAAAAATAAATTAAATAAATAAATAAACATAAATAAAAACACAAGCATACAAAACTCATTTTACAAGGTTGTAGGCACACACATTTGAGGACCTATGTCAAATATACTAGAGTACTGGCCCCTGACAAAGGATGGGGCTAGGAAAGGGTGCAGGCATCAGCACTGAAGGGAAAAGGACAAAAATGAAAGTGAAAAGAGGTAACAGAGGGGCCTTACATGGGCCAAGGAGTGTGTGCTGTGCCCTAAGAACAATGAACAACTTACATCTTCTGAAAACATAAATAAAATCATGTCACTCAGCCGCTCACACCCCTCAAGTGACTTCTCATTTCTCTTGGAGGTCAAGTCAAAGTCCTTACGCTATGTTGTAGAATACAAAAGCTCGATCTGACCACAGCTCTCTGACTTCATCTGTTCTTCCTCCTCACTCACGCCACCCCAACCTCCTTCCTAGTCCTTGCATCAGTCAAACAAGTTCACTTCAAGGTGTTAGTATTTGCTACTCTCTCTGTCTGAAATGTTCTTCCCCCAGATATCTGCATGGCTCATTTCCTTATCAACCTCAAAACTCTGCTCAACTGTCACCTTAAAATGCAGCTTTAACTGCCCACTCTATTTAAAACAGCAGCCTCCTCCTACTAGTGACCCCCAAATTCCAACCTCACATTCCTTATTTCTTTTCCTGGTCTCCCTCCTCCCAGCCAAATGTCAGCTCCATGAAGGCAGGGATTTTTTTCACTGCTGCATCTCTCAGCCACTAAAATAATACCTGGCATATAACAGTCATTTATACTTGCTGACTTAATAATTTTCTGGTCATTTCTGACTAAAGAGTCCTCTTTATACGCCACAGGAAACCTGTAAGTTCTGCACTCTCAACCTGTGAAACACCACAATTGCTCACCAGCTTCACACACACATCTGACCTGAACTGGACAGAAATTGCTGACTAGCAGAATCCTCTCCAAAGAGGGGAGGAACAAGTTTTTGGAGGTGATGGATATGTTTATTGCATAGATTGTGGTGATGGTTTCACAGGTGAATACTTGCCTCCAAACTCATCAAGTTGCATACATTAAATACATACAGTTTTTTGTATGTCAATCATACCTCAATAAAGTGGTTAAAAAAAAAGAATCCTCTCCAAGCCAGGTCCAATGGGTATGGATGGGAAACAGGAAGCAGTAGGTAGGCAAAATAGTCCTTTCAGTCACCCAAGCAATAAAATCTCAACTCTCACTCAAGAGGATTCTTAACCAGATAACTCAAACTGAGTCTTATCGTTCTAATTTTTTGTGGAAAGCTTAAAAACAAACTCTTTAACAGAACAACTTTCCTGTTATTCAAATCTTATTCAAATCCCAGGTCTATCAGAGACTTTTCTGAAGTGGCCTTAAGAGAATTTATTATTACATCTAAACTACTATCTATTTTTATCAGATAGCCTAATGCATGGGATGCTCTATATAAAATATAAATAAGATGTGGCTACTTATAACTTTTCACAAATAAAAGATACAAGCCCAGGCGCCAGCCTGGTGGCGTAGTGGTTAAGTTCGTGCACCCTGCTTCGGCGGCCTGGAGTTCGTGGGTTCAGATCCCAGGTGCAGACCTACACACTGCTCATCAAGCTATGCTGTGGCGGCATCCCACATACGAAATGGAGAAGACTGGCGCAGATGTTAGCTCAGGGACAATCTTCCTCACCAGAAAAAAAAAAAAAAAAAAGATACAAGCCCATACGATGATGATGGCCTCAAATACTCCATGTATGTGTAATGTGGTTTTAGTCTGCTGACAGCACATGCAGACATTATAATAAACCTAAGACACCATCCCTTGACATTAAATAACAAACATATAAAGCAGGATATTCAGAACCATTTCAAAGAAAGAACAAACTTAATATGGACTATAAACTCCAGAGGTAACTATACTGCTAATAGTTGAGCAAAACTTCAAATGATCTTTTTCAGGCTCATAAGATGCTATGAAAGCTAGAAAATGTACAAAAAGGTCTCTAACCAGCGTGAATTACTAAATCTTCTATTAGGAACTAAAGAATTCTAAAGATATAAACCAAGAGGCTTCAAATATTGTACAAACACTCTTCCATTATAATAAAAGAATCATTTCTCACATATATAAATCAAGAGTTGTTTTATAATCCAAGATTGTATGTATTTTCCTCAGTATTATGCTTTATAGATAAGAGCAGAGATGGAGCCACAGGACAACAAGGTTTCTTCTGGTAATTGTTCAGGTATAAAAATTTTCAAACAAGAAGAAAATAGACCCAGAGAGATTATATAACTTACCCAAAATCACAGAGCTGGGATCAGAACTCTAGGATCCCCAAATCTAGTCCAAATCATTGGACTCCCCTCACATTCCATTGCGCTCATATGGTAAAGTGATATCACAGTGTGAGTCACTGATTATCTCTGTAAACACAGTATGGTTTATTAGTAGAGAACATAGGTTTTGTGTCCAACAGGTCTGGATTTGTGT